TCAACTGTTGTGTCAAATGAATCAGCCCCACAGGTGAACTTTTTAGTATTTTGGGTACTTTTTTAAATTTGTTTCCTTTTTTCTTTAGTATTTTGGCTGATTGTTTTTTTTATTTTATTTTCTAGAAGGTTGTTCATAAATGGAAGCCATATCTTACTACACCCAAGGGAGGACGGAATCGTTTATCTCCTCCCGCTCAAGTCGCTGGACCCAAGGTGAACGGAGTCGAACTCGCCCAAGCCGAATTCCTCCCAACCCGTCTTCCCCAAATTTCTTCTTTGGTTTCAACCTCCAGCGGGTTCTTCAAACCGAAGCACCCTTCTCTTTCTATCTTACTCTCCTCCCGCTTATCCCTCTTCTCCTCCAACCCGCTACGACTCCTTCCCCCCTAAGGGAGGAGGGAGTCGTTCCCTCCCAACCCACCGAACCCACTACCACATCAATTTTTCTCTTTTATTTTTTCTTCATCTTTCCGAACCCACAACACACGGAAATCCTATCTTTTTGAACCCACTCAACCCACTCAATTAAAAAAAATACAAAACAACTAAGGTACAAGTTTTAAAACACATGGTACAAGAGAAAATAAGAAAGAGAATGTAGAGAGAGATGATGAAGTGGGTTAGTGAAACCAATCAACCCACTCGTTGAAGCGGGAGTGGTACCGCCGATAACTCTATTGCTAATTAAGATTTTACATTTGATTGTTTTGTATTTTTTTTTAATTGAGTGGGTTGAGTGGGTTCAAAAAGATAGGATTTCCGTGTGTTGTGGGTTCGGAAAGATGAAAAAAATAAAAGAGAAAAAGTGATGTGGCAGTGGATTCAGTGGGTTGGGAGGGAATGACTCCCTCCTCCCTAAGACACCACCACTACAAACGTTAGTGAGAGCACGACCTCCAACCATTAAAACAACTGAAGAATTAGAAAAAGAAGAACGGGAGAAAGCCCCTAAATTCAAAGCTAGACCTCTGAACAAAAAGGTATAAAATTACCATAATGCCCCTGCTCAAAATTCTCATTTTTTGTCCCTGACAGATGTTGGAAAGATGGGATTGGGACACATTCTTGATCTCTTTATGTGTGTAAATTACCATCATAATGCCCCTGGTCAGAATTATACTCTTGAACCAGAAGGTCTAAATTACCATAATGCCCTTGGTCAAAATTCTCAATTTTTGTCCCTGCCAGATGTAAGAATGATAGGATAGGGACACATTTTTGATCTCTCTCTCTCTCTCTCTCTCTCTCTTATGCATTCTTGATCTCTTATGTGTGTAAATTACCATAATGTCCTTGGTCAAAATAAAATTATACCTTTGAAGGTGTAAATTACCATAATGCCCCTGGTTAAAGTTGTTGTTTTTTGTCCCCGCCAAAAAAGTAAAAGATGTGGGAAAGATGGTTGGAGGTCGTAAGCAAACGCTACAAATTGTTTTATGCGTTTAATTAAAATTAAACGTTGTATTTCTTGAATAAGAATATGAGATGAATCACGAACAACCGCACCGATGATAAAATTGATCAATTTATGTTATTTTCTTTATTGGTAAACAAACTCTAATGATTTATTTATTTATTTATTTTAAATACAGGGCTGACAACAATGAATATGGAAGGATCACAAGGGATGAGATACAGGAGGTGTATATATATATATATATATATATATATATATATATATATATATATAGCAATACGTTTCTTTCAGAAATACCATTCATATTTATAAATCTTAATAAAAAAACATTATTATTTTAAAAACATTTTTTTCTTCAGAATACAACGAAATTTCTGACCATGGAACAGAGTTTGTTAACAACTCGTGGTGAGAATGGTTCGAATTTTTTACTAAATCCAAAAGCAGACCGAACCGTTCTCACCCTTAATGGTTAACAAACTTTGTTTCATGGTCAACTATATTGTATTCCTAAAAAATGATGTTTTTTGAAGAAAAAATGTTAATATGAATGTTTTATTTTTTTAACTTTGTGAAATATGAATGATTTTTCTTAAAGAAAAAAAAAGTAGTGGTTTTTCGGATAAAATGTTGAAAATGTAGTAGTTTTTGTGAAAACTTCCCTTATCACAACTATGATTGTTCTATTTTCTTGTGTTCTTTGTTTAACATCATTATAGATTTTTATAGATTTTTTAGTCCTCTTTCTGTTACTCCTTTCGTCGCCCTTGCTGGTTTTGGGCTCTATGAATTTGGATTCCTCGGGGTAAGTATAACAAAAATAAATAAATCATTTATTCTCATGATCATATGTTTAGGTAAAATACATGAATTAAACTTGTCTTGTCTTTTCTAGGTTGCAAGACATGTCGAAATCGGGCTTCCTTAACTCATCTTTGTAGTTGTTTTGTCACGGATAATAATGTCATATTTAATGCATTACTATGCACTTAATCTGGTAAGCTATATATGAGTAAGAAAGAATAGAACGACTTAATACAAGAAGTCAAGAAAAGAAGACTTTCCTCATTAAGTACTAAAATTGGTTTGTTTGGTTATGTGTAGTATCTGCCTCATTTGATACATTCACTATAAGGATCTTTGAGAAATTTTCTGTTGTGGTATCGATTGCCATTGTTTGGTTTTATGCTCATTTGAATTTACGGTTTTGGTAATCTTTTCGGTAATTTTTTTTAGTTTTCGATAAAAAAACACAGAATCATAATATATATACAATTGTTTACAGGATACAACCATTTAAAAAAAACGAAAAAAAATTAAAAACCGTAGGTTTAAGGAAACCTTTTTTTTTCGTTATTTGCTAATATTATTAAAATGTCAAATTAATATTATTACATGTTTCAATTCTTTGATTCAGTCAACTGGTGGATTCATTGCGGTTTCACGGTATGAAAGTGTCATCCCCTTGCCTCCATCTATTTTAAGTCGTGGTGTTGGTTGACATGTAATTATAATTCTTTTGAACATAATTAAATGTTTTTTATAAAAAAAAAGACAAATATGTTTGTCTTTTCTTTTATTGTTAGGGAATTGGCATTTTGTTGTGTGGCTTGTTTGAAACAGTAATTGGATCTTCTGTATCTATGTAAGTTGACAAATCTCAACTTTTTTAGCTTCTAAATCAATCACTAATTTTATAAAAATTAAATAATGAAGATTTTATGATTTGTTATTTGCAGTAAGAATGCAGATCTATTGGTTGTGACCCATGTAGGAAGTTGATGAGTTGTACAGATCTCAGCAGGGTTCATGAATTTCTTTTCGGTTCTTGGTATTTTCATTTCCAATTCACCCTTTTATATAATTTTTAAAATTTTAATATATTTATTTGCATATTCTAATTTTCAAACTGTTAATATATATATATATATATATATATATATATATATATAAATCTTATTAACATTAATTATAATTCGAAAATATTTTAAACTTTTAATTGTAATTCGAAAATATTCTAAGATTATAATTATAATTCGAAAAAATTTGAAGACTCTAATTAAATTTGGTATTATATGCTCTTTATTTATTTAAATGAAAAATCTTCTAAATATCTTATTAACTTTGATATGATTCTGATTATTTTTGGATCGATTTTTAAAAATATTTTAAGCTTTTAATTATAATTCGAAAATATTCTAGTATTATAATTATAATTCCAGAAAAATTTGAAGAGTCTAATTAAATTTGGTATTATATGCTCTTTATTTATTTAAATGAAAAGTATTCTAAATATCTTATTAACTTTGGTACCATCCAGATTATTTTTGGATCGATTTTTTTAATCCTTTCCATTCATTTAATTATTCAAAATATATGCTTCCTACCTAATTTACTTTGATACATTCCTATATTAAGAGGTTATGCATTTTATCCTTATTAACACTACATAATATCACATATCATACAGAACACAAAAACGAAAAAAAAAATTCTTCAACCAATGTGTCGACGTTCTGCTGCGGGCTTCCATCTTCCATCATCCATCACCATTCTAAACTCAAGAGAAAGCCATAAAAGTAGTTTTAATGCATGAGGATCAACAACAATATAAATAAGTTTTTTATTGTTACACTTCAACTTGCATTAACAAAGGTTTTTAATAGTTCTTTTATACATAATATTATAAGCTTCGGTTAAATTTTATAATTTTATATTGTTACACCACTGTTTGACATCACAAATCAATTTTTATACTATATTTATTCATTCCATAATCGTATTGAGTGTTTGATATATACTATTCTTCACTTGTGGTTAGTTATATATAGTTGTATCTCGCGTAACAAGTAAAAAAATGCTTGAAGGTACTCATTTATGACGAGGAAGGTCATCCAACCAACAAAACAAAAAATGTTGTCTATAAAGAGGTCCTTCAACAATTATAGATAATCAGACATTTCGTTTTATTTTTTAACGCATTATAATAATCACTAACACAAAGTTTTTTATGTTATTTTATCTTATTTTTTTATGTGTTCCACCACGTTTAACGCGGGTCATGATCTAGTTTTTATTATTATATAAGTTTCACAATGTTCAAAACAATTTCAAAGACGTTATTGATTTTTGATGTTACAAAGTTTTTAAGCTATGACTATTTTTGTTTAACAACATATTTTAGAAACGTATGTCGTTTTTATGGTAATAACTTTTTAAACACGAGTTTCATAACATAAAACTTATTCATATTTTATACTAGGTTACAACCCGTGGAAACCACGGGTTATAAAACTTTATTAAACTATTAAGATATAAGTTTTGTTTACTTTTATATTGAAATTCAAGTTGATCAAACTCTTTTTTATCTTGAAATCAACACCAGTTACAAATATAAACGATCATATACCAAAGCATTATAAACAAATTAAAAACCTGTAATAAAGAACTTTTATTTCTATCACCTAAAAAACAAACATACAAACGGTTAAAGATAGCCCAATCAAGCCAAGTGTACAAAACACAATCGAAGGGATTATACTACAAAGTAATGTATGTGAGCACAATATCATTCAGTCAATGAAATTATACACTTCAAATTCAAGTTTTGTCCCCAAATACGCCTTTAAACATAAAAAAATACAACATATAATTAATTTCACCTAAATAAAAAAACACTTAAATTACCATATTTAAAAATTAGTATGATCAAAGGAGAGACCAAGTTGACCACTGAGTGAGAGCCAAGTACGTTTTTACCTACATTTGTCAGTGAACATTTAAGGCCTGCGAAACCATTATCCCCTGGCAGCCTAGGTGTGCCAAGCACAGTGAGTATAAAACATAAGAAAACAATAACCAAACTATAAAACCACTTATCAATCATCAATCAATAAACCATTGATTACAAATCCAAATGTTTGTCTTCCCGTCTGTCATTTCTTCCTTCATAACACCGGCTAAACCTACAACAAAACATGGAAAAATAGAATTTACCAATATACCCCCAGCTATATATAACCACCAATTCTCTGCATTTAACATTACCTTTCCTAACTATTCTAAAACTTTTGCAAACTACAGTAATTGGCTCATCAGAGGAGTATAGCCATCTCCAGGTTCTAATCTGGAAGCATAATTCAGTGTAAGAATGAACATTATCGTTTGAAATTCCAAATTAATATAAACAATTAACACCAAACATATCATGCAAATCTTATTTCACAAACAAAATCCCTTTTAAAAAAGAACTTGATCGGCAACAGACATCTTTGCAATGCAAAAATGCTCTTCAACTGGTAGCAGATAGCATTTTTGTTGTTATAAAATAAAACTTTCTTGCTTCAAGTAGCGTGCATTTTTTATTAGTAATCATCACTTTCTTGCTTCCATAAAATTCAACTCCATGAACACCCTTCAAGTACAGTGTGATTCCATATAATATTGAAGTTCAGATGTCGAACTTTGATTTACCAAGTCGTATTCTAGATCCCCTGGAGGGTGTCGTCTTTTTATAGGGCAAGGTAGGCATACTAAATAGTAAAATGGGACATATTAGGAGAGGAGTCAGGACACAACAAATATTTCAGAAAGCTTAAACTCATTCAAAAAACTATGAAAAACATCAAATTTCATTATAAATCCAAATAGATTCATTAAAACTTGAATACAAAAATTGATACTTTACTATCATAATAATCCTTTGATGAAACTCTATTAGAAGAAATCTAAAGAGTAGCAACAAAGAATCGAGATTATGAAAGCATCAAAGATAGATTAAAGCCTCATATCGTTTATGGGATGTGTGGCTATCAAAATAAATGGAATCGAATTTGATGATGATATAAAATTATCGTTACAAAACGAAAAAATAAACAAAATAATGTCCAAACCTTGAATCAAATGTAGTTTCATGACGAGTAAATTGAAGGAAAACACAGGAGGACTGAAAGACAAAACAGAACCACACTGATGCCAGATAGAGGACTGGAGAAATGAAAGGAGTTCAGATGATAAGCGTATCTAAAAAAAATAGGGTTAAAAATTGTGGAATTACCTTAAACAAATCGGAATAAATAGGGAGTTGACGAATAAACATTGGAATGGATTACCTTCATAATGCTAATTTAGTGAAGATTTTCGGTGAGTACTCCGTGATTTCTCCTTTGATTCTCCTTCTGATAGGTTGAATGTGAATGATAAGCGGAAACGTTATATTGATTTCGTGTACATGTAATCGACTGTGTGATATGAAGGAGGGGCAAAAATGGAATTTAACATTGAAGGGAAATCGATGTTGTCGGTGACACGTGACATATGAGATTCTTTTAATAAGAAGGTAGATTTATTCTCAAAAAAGTAGCCACCATCTTAGAAAGTTTTTTCATCTCAAACTCATTAGTTAATACACATAAGTCAATCATTTATAATAGTTATCAAAATAGTTTGCATTGTTGGGAAAATATTTCGAAATTTGTATGTGATATATTATGGCCATAAATAACAATTAACCATTTTATTCTATATCCGGTTTTTAAAATATAAAGATAATAAAAATAAAACGTGTGATTCATAAAACCAAATTAACACTACAGAAAAAAAAACAATAATAAAGAAACATTAGTTCGAAGGGGATTGGGGAAAACAAAATTTTAATTCAATGACAAACTAATAAATAAGTCAACAGTTTCATTGGGAAATGGTGGTAAAAAGGTATTATAAGTTTATAACACATTAACTTTCACTAAATATTAATTTATCCTTAATTCAAAAACTTATATCTTTATTAAAAAAACACCTACAATTTGGAATAATTTATAAAATAAAAATCTTAGTCAAATTGTTTAGTGGAGATTTGGATAGTATGAGGGTAGTTGGAGGCATGTATTTTAGGATGTTGGTTGGACAATATTCCGTTCAATAATCAATATGATTCTTGAAATGATCCCGATATATATATATATATAGATATATATATATATATATATATATAGATATATAATTATTATATATATATTATCTATAACATAAAGAGAGACGAGTGAGCAGAGACAATTGTAAAAAATAGAATGAGGGAATTATTCTCAGTCACTCATTTATCTAAACATTGGCAATCCTTCAATCTCAAATACGTAACTGTATAGAAATAGATAACAGTTCAAAGCTATTTCTAATCGATCGTTCATCATCCAAATTTCTCCTCCAACCTTAAACAATCATCTAGATTTCTTCAATTAAACCATCATCAACATCATCCAGTGTTAATCAATCATCGATCTTCGTCAATAACATGTTTATCAACACGATTCAACAATTAACAACAAAAATTCGTTTTTTGTTCTTTTAATCCAACCTTCAATTCTGCTTGAATACGATCAGATCTTCAACATCTACGATTAATTATACTCCCAACGTCATTAGATCAACATCATCGATAATCAACAAAAAATCCACTTCATATCATTCATTCAACATCGATTATCAAATAAAACTTCAAAATTGAGGTAAGAAAAAGATCAAATCGTTTTTTTTTTAAAATTCATATAATTCTCTATCAATCTACTATTTTGTAAGATTTAAATAGTCAAAGTATCATGTTTTTAACATTTTTAAAAAAATTAAATTGTATGCACTCCAACTGTTTGATGAAATGCATAAACTAAATTACCACGTTATATTCATATATGAATATGTTTTCTCACATGAATCAGTATATAATTATTAAAACAAAACAAAAAATATGCAAGTCTGTATGTTATTCATATGTGAATAACATATAAAAATTATATATATTTGTGAAAATACCTTGTAATATTCATATGTGAATATACTGTGTCATATTTATAAGTGAATATATCATGTAATATTCACAAGTGAATATACTATGTAATATTCACATGTGATATACCATGTAATACTATGTAATATTCAGATATGAAAATATTATCTAATATTCATAAGTGAATATACCATCTAATATTCACAAGTGAATATACTATGTAATATTCACAAGTGAATGCATTGTCTAATTTTTAAATATGAATATACTATGTTTATTATATGCTATATTCATATATGAATGAAACTTAAATTGTAAAAAAAAATTAATCATAGTTTTTATTCATAAGTGAATAACGAATGTATTGTAGTAAAAATCTGATTCATTTCTATTCACTTATGAATAACGATAGTTGAAAATATAAAAAAAAAAAATTTATTTTATCTTAAAACTATATCAATATGGATGTCTATTTGTAGAGAATAAAAATCATGAATTTTGGTATATTTGAAATCATTTTTCGATAAAAATAGCTTCTTTAAATTAAAAAAAAAACGAAAAAACTATGTTTTTGTATATATTAAGGTAATGCTTAGCATAGTTTAAGGAAACATGTTTTGTTGGAAAACACATGTCTATTCCTTTCTCATTTCCGCTGGAACGACGGAGGCTTTTGCGGCAAAAATAAATGAGTGGCTGAGAATGATTCCCCCATTCTCAACTTTTTTTTCTCAATTGAACCCTCCTATATATATATATATATATATATATATATATATATATATATATATATATATATATATATATATATATATATATATATATATATATATTCTTTTTATCAATTTCAAATTTTAATTATAGTTGTCTAATTATCATATTTTGACATTCATTATAACAATAACGAGTGAAAATAATCCTTATAGATTGAGGTTCAGGTGGGTTTATAGGGTTCACTGGGATGATCATGGTGAAAAAAAAAGATGGAAGAGGTGAGGAAGAAGGAGAATGATGTTGCTCTTCAAATTTTTTTTCAACTAAGCATTTGCTCAAACACTTCACTAATAATCTTTTTCATTGTAACGTCTGCAAATTCGGACTAGTTAATTTTTTAGACAATAAGCGTAAAAAAAATGACTTTTTAATGAAGAGAAATTAAATATTCTCCTACTTATTGTTCCTACAAATGTTCCTATCCAATTAAATAGTAACATGTGTCACATTTAATGCTCATTTAATGATATTTTAGTATACTAATATGACAAATGTCATCATTTCATTGGGTAGAAGGATTTGTAGGAACAAAAGTAGGAGGATATTTAATTTCTCTTTAATGAAAGATTATTTAGAATGAATAATCTTAACCATGTTATAGTATATATCACAAGGGTTCTGTACATATAAAAAACATCAAAATCCGAATTATAACGACGAAGTTATGACATGTCGAAGTTTTACGGCTAAATTGGCACGACACCGCGTATTAGTGCACGATTTTTCTAAGATTTAGCATACTAGTGCACGACCCCAAATTCGAATTTTAGATCGGTTGACTTTTATCCAAAATAATCTAAATGAGAAATGAAGATCGTTAATATGAGTTCAACGATAAAAAAACACTCGAAAACGGAGCTCGTATGCGAAAGATATGGACGAAACTTAGTCCCTACTCTTCGAGCGCGATAAAATTCGATACAGTTTTGTAAATCGGAGATAGAATGAAAATTAAATCTAAATGAAAGTTGTATTACTCGTAAATACCAACACGTGGATATAAAGAACGTCAAAAACGGAGTTCGTATGAATGAGTTATAATTTTTAATAGCATATTTACGTATTAAAATAAAGTATAAATCATATATACGTACACATATATATACATATGTATATATCATTAGAAAGGTATCGACGATGCGGTCATTATAAGACTAGTGTTGAGTACTTTCGACATTAGTTTAGTATAAATATCGTTAAATCTATTTAAAATAGTATTATAAAGGGGTGTTTAGTTGTTTATATAACTATAAGGTCATTAAGTAACTATGAGGGTAGTTTTTGAAAATTCAATTACTATAAATAAGAGCTTTAGGCTCTTATATTTGTTGCACCATTCTTTTGATTCAAGAGTCTTTCTCTTCTTATCCCCCCGAGCATTTCGGTCCCTCGTGATTCGACTTCTCTTTCTGTAGTTTTAGTATAGTAAGGTGAGCGCTGAAGCGCTACAAGAATCTTTATTAGAAAGATTTAGCGACGAAATTCTGCCCCTGCAGAGCCCGACTCCTAGCTAAAACCTCATTGTAAGTAAGTTGTGCTTACCCTACTTTAAGTATAGCTTATAATTAATATTACTATTTTTATTATGAACTTATAATAAATATTTGGGCTATTATTATGACTTATATAAGCGTCGTTCTAATATCTTTTTTAACTACTCACGGTACGGGGAATCTGGTTTGAAGGGCCGCCTGGGTTGTTGGATTTCAGAAGTGCTATAATGCCAATATGGTCCTGCCCTCCGGTGTTTCATGTCTGTCCCTGTCTGTACATAGTAGTTAGGAAGTATTGTTTAGCGCTTATATAATAGTATTAATACTAAGACTAAGAGATAGTCACGATGAACATTAGACTAAAATTTATTGGTAATAATACTAGGTTTCGTTGAAGGGAATTATTTTAATAAGCGAAGCGCTATCTAAGTTTAGAATCACCACCCTAACAGGTGAGTGCGTAGTTACTTTCATCTTACACATAGATATGAAGTATTTTATATATATTACGTGCTATGTGTGCATATTATCTATATACTTCCTATCTATGATGTATGAACGATTTTATACACGTTTTAAATGATTTAAAGTGTATATGTATTTATATCTACAAAATATGTTGGGTAAAACATGGGTAGATGAATGATGAGGGATGAAAGCTGATATAGAGGAACATTGGCAGTATGGACATAGTGCCCTATAGGTGAACATTGGCAGCAATGGACTTAGTACCCTATAGATGAGCATTGGAAGCTGCGCCACAACCTGTAGATGTTTTTGATCTACGATGTACTCTAAACATCCATCCTAGCAACTGTGCTCTAAGGATAGTATCGGCAGTTGCGCCTAATAGAGAACATCATAACCCTGGCAGTTGCGCCTAAAGAACAATATCGGCAGCTGTGCCTAATAGAGAATGTCACAATCCTGGTAGCTGCGCCTAAATGGTAATATTGGCAGCTGTGCTTAATAGATAACATTGACAGTTGTGTCATTGGTAACGATGGACTTCGTACCTATTCCTTAGGACAATACTTAGGAATGAATGAATGAATAATAGCTGATTCTTAGGGTAGATCCTTAAGAGTAAATAAGATAATGGGGATGGGTAATTGGGTTGATTGTTTTATGTTTAAACATAATAATTATATTATTGTGGGTTGAAAACCCTATGTACTCACCAGGTTT